CATTTTTAAGAGCCTGAAATCTCAAAAATGCGTTACAAAACCAAAAAAAACCATCTTCCGTTGAAAACTCAATATACTATTTAAAAGGGAGACCTTATATGTTTGTTTTGCCTATAGCTTTTTTGCATTTCTATGGGGGGACAAAAGAGCGGGGGAACGAAAATGATGCAAATTTTGATGTTTTTTTTTGGGGAAAAATGGTGTGATTTTTAAGAAAAAAAAAGTAGTTTGTAGTGATGCGAAAATAGCGAAAAATAAATAAGAGAACTTTGAATCAAAATAGACCGAAAAATGAAGAAAATTTTGATATTTTTGGGCGAACTGATTATTCGCGAAATTTTCGGTTTTTTTCCGGCGAAAAATAGTCGAGCATCCGGGATTTTTAGGTTACAAATAGACCAAAAAATGACGAAAAATTGGATTTTTGGGGGTCAAAATCGGTCCAAATTTTGATTTTGGGCCATTTTCCCCATGTTAAATCGTACCTTTTCGAGCTTTTTTGAGTAAATTTCCCGTTTTTTGACGAAAAATTCAATCTTTTTGGATTAAAAAATGCTTCAAAATATTGGGGAATTCAGGATTTTTGGTCATAAAAGGCAAAAAAGACGAAAAATTTTTTTCGATTTTTGAGCCCTTCTTTCCAGGTTAAATTATAGCTTTTCGAGTTTTTTCAATGTAAATTATATATTTTTTGACAAAAAAATCCTCTATTTTCGGGTCATAAAAGCCCAAATTTTTAGATACTTAAAGAAATTTGAAAATCTATCAAAAATTCGGATTTTGAGCATGAAAAATTTTTTAATTCAATTTTTTGGCTTCAAATCAATTTTCATGAGTTTCTAGCGGCTTTAAAATCTCAAAATCCACATTTTCCGGCTCAAAAAACGTCGAAAATCGAACTTTCCGGGTCCAAACCAACCTTGGTGTCTCCAAAGACGGCCTTAATGTCGAGAGTATCAACGCCGAAGCCAAAATGATACAAGAAGTCTCTCTTGTCCTTGATATCGAAATACTTGTTCACCTTCTCGACTCCGTTCATCTTGGCGGCGGTTCTAAAAATGCGTTTTTGCTGAAAAAGTACACAAAAGAAACCACAAAAGAAGACGAAAAAAGGACGAAAAAGGGGTAGAATAGAGCCCTGCTTCTCCCAAAAAGCTGAAGAGCGAGAGAGAGAGAGAGAGAGAGAGACGGCAGAGAAAAAGAGAGCAGAATTTGCCTCGTGGCGTACTTAGAAGACGTGAGAAAATGCACTCCTGAAAATCAAATCAAAAAAAGATCAAAAGAGCGAATTCTCTTTGACATATAAAATATAAAATAAAAGAAAAATAAAATGAAAATGTTGAAAAATATCGAGAAAATTGAAACTTTTATTCTGAGAAAAAACGCCGAAGAAATTTAGGCTCCGCCTCTTTTTTTCGCTATCTCTTCTTCTTTTTCTTGTGGGCGGGGCCTCTGGTGACGATAAGGAAGTGGAGAGATTCTGAAAAATTGGAAAATTGGAAAAAATAAAATTTTTTATTCCAACAAGTTGAAAAAAAAGAAAAAAAGAAGAAGCTAAGAAAAATTGGGTGAAATTTGAGTAAAAAGGTCAACAATACTGAGAAACTCGGAGAACAAACAGGCGGCTCCTGGTGACGCAAATTTGCAATTTGCCACGTGGTTTTGAGGAGAATTTTGATAACTGTTTGATTATCACACTTATCAGCTAACCATGTGCGCGAAAAATGCGCGAAAAAGCACAAAAATCGAGTGGAAAAATGATGACATAAAAAATAAAATTAAAAGTTTGGCTTTCGGCGGATTTGGTGTTTTCGTCGTGAACACGGTTACGCAAAACTGCAGATCTAGAAAAATGGCGCGAGTTATAAATTTGAGTTTTTTTAGATGAAAAAACGCTTAAAAACGCTTAAAAAGGAGGATAATTCCGGAAAATCATTATAATTTTGTCATTTTCTGACTAGTTGTTTTACGACACACAATTATTTATCAAAACTACGCATTCCCATGCCAATTTGCCATTCCGGTTTTTTTTTTCATTTTTAATGATGATAAATATCATTATTAATTATTTGGTTTCTGAACACACACATGGGCTGATAAATAACCAAAAAAATTCGCCAGTCAATCGAGACAGCACGTGGGGAGAGATGGATAAAAAAAATTCGCAGAATCACCTAAAAAGACGGAAATGATAAAAAATAAAGGAAACTATCTCAATAGATGACAGTTGATCTTATCAATCAAAATTTTCTCTTTTTGCATTTGGTTTTTTGTTCCACAAGAATTTTAGTGTGTCACTTTTGACACACAAATTCTCGCGCGCTACTGTGACTTATTTTTCTGATTTATTGTGATCCTTAAACGTCACTGGCTGCCTTGTTTTGATCTACTACAAAAGTTCAATGGAGCGATTTTGTCAAATCGGGAAAACAAAAATGTGAAAATCAAATTTCCCTGCCGCCCTCCGCTCTTCGCCGCGACGCGCCTCGCCGCCACCACATATACGCCTTCCGCTTCCTTTGTTTCCCGTTGCACGCGTAGTCTTGCGGTCTACGCGACTGGTTTTAATCCGAGGGTTTCGAGTTCGATTCCTCTTGATGCCAATTTGCTTTTGTTTTCTTTTTTCCAATGTTTTAGATCAAAATCAAAGATCAGAAAACCGTTTCAAAGCGATTGAAATCTATAAATTCCTTTTAGTTTGATATATACCGTCCCCGAGAAGAAAGAAACATTAATCTTCCTGCGCCTCCTTTTATCCAATTTTCAGATCTCTAACAAAGTCAGAAGTTAGAATAACAAAAAAGTAAACGATAAAAATCACATATACTACTTCATTTCAAATTTGACACCAAAAAAAGTAGTAAATCAGAAGGGGTATATGGGAAAAAGGACATTTTTACACGAAAAAAAACATTGAGATGATTTTTTGAAGTCTTGAGATAATTTTTCGCAGAATGGGGCGCAAGGAGAATGTACACATTGTACCTGTACAACAGAAAATTGAAGAAAAATGGGTAAGAATTTGAAAAAAGGCTCATTTCGGCGAAGCGCGCTTGCGCGGCGCCGAAATTGGAATTTTTAGGTTTTCAGCCGAATTTTATCGACTTTTGCAATTTTTTTGCTTATTAGGTAGTTTGCCAGGTTAAAAGATATATTCTAAGCACAAAAATAGCATGTTTAATTTGAAAAAGTGGGAAAAATGCGGAAAACGAAGAATTTTCGAAAAAATATCGATTTTTCGGACTTTCAGCTATTTTTGCACTTCGAATGTATTTTTTTAACACGAAAAATGTGTCTTTTAACCTGAGAAACCACCTAATAAGCAAAAAATCGATAAATTCGGCTGAAAATCGAAATTTCTGAATTTCAGCGTCGCGCAAGCGCGCTTCGCTGAACAAAAAGAATAGAGCGCGCAAAATAGGGGAAACATTAGACAAGAAAGTGGGTAAAATTACCCGCCTGCGGGTAGGTGTGGAATTTAGAAAAAAAAGGAACCGGTTAACGAAAATTCTGGGAAAATGTTTTGGCGGGGATTACTGTAGACTTGGCGGGGATTACTGTAGATCAAAGTAAATTAGCTCTGTCGATTGACACGTCGGAGTCGTTTGATGAAGTTGTATTTCAGTTGCTTCCATCGTTTATGGAAGAATTTATTGAGATTCATGCCGGCACGTCCCACTTCTGAATGATCGATATTGAATTGACGGCAGTTGGCAAACATCAGCTCGACGTCTTCGGCAAAGTCTTCTGGAGTTTCGTATCTGAAAATTAGCCAAGGATTAGCAATGGAGCACGTTCGCTGTTTATCGAAGTTCAAACATATAAATAAAAATTTTCGATATTTCTATTTTTTTTTTTGGAATTTTTTGAGCTCAATTATCTCAGCTCCTGTGAGAGACATCAAAAAGTAGTCAACTGAGAAAATATTAATGATGTTATGAAAAACAATTTATCAGTTGATAATTTTTTTTATATCTTTCACGGGAGCCGAGATAATTGAGCTTAAAATTTGTATATGAGAATTCGAAGGAACGAGGAGCGCAATATTTAAAGGCGCATATCCCAAAAACTATGAAAGCTAGCTTAAACTTGTAAACAATTAAAATGTGTAGAATGTTATGATCTACATTTTTATGAATATTAAATTTTTAATAGCTCATTTCATTTTTGAGTTATAGCGTTTTAAAGACGAGGGCGCTGAAACTCGAGGGGGAGACGCGCCCTCTCCTTGTTTGGACGCGCATCAACTTTAGTGACGCATATCTCAAAAACTGAATTAAATATGTAAAAGTTGTAAACTACAACTTTATAGAGTGTACAATTTTACACATTTCATCAATTTACAAATTCTAAATAGCTGTTTTGGTGTTTGAGATATACGCTTTTAAAGTTAGCGCGCCCTGAAGGTGCTCTCTTTTTGAACGGTGCGCTTTATTTAAAGACGCATATCTCAAAAACCATGGAAGCTAGAAAGAAGCTGAAAATTAACAAAATGTGTAAAATTTTATGATCTACATTTTGCTAGTAAACATATTTTATATAGCTGCCTTCATCTTTGAGATATAAGCATTTTTTTCAAAATTCCCTAAAAGCCAAACTCACATCGCCTTCTCATTCTTCTGTCGAATCGTTCTCAAATCAATCGGCTTTGCGATAACCATCTTATATCCTGGTACCAGTTTAGGATTGACAGGCTCCAGGAAAGGCTGTGCACTAGGCTGAGCAACCAGCTCATCCAACATCAGAAGGCACAACTCTCTAGTCATTGTTTTCGGCATTCCTCCATTCACAATTGGCTCAATTTTTCGTTTCAAGGTGCCGCCTATGGCTCCGCCCCTCTTTTCCATGACTCCATTTTTATTTTCAGTGTTATTTTCAGCGGGCGTCTTCTCCACTTGCTGCTTCTTCTTCTCCTCCTCTTCCATCTCCCGCTCCTCCGATTCGCTTCGCAACATGACTCGTTTCGCGAATCGCATCTGTTTGATATCTTGGCAGTGGGGACAGATAAAAGTGTCTCGATTGATAGTCTCTTTTGGTCCGTCTCGTGCGCATTCCTCATGGACGTGGTATGCACAACGATTGCATTGATGGAGGTGGCCAGTTTCACGGGTGCAGAACATACAAAGGGGCTTGCCAGACTTCTCTTGACGACACTTTTGGCAGAACCAATCGCCGTCGGGCACTTTTGTCATGCGGGGCTGAAAAAAGCATTATTAATATTGTTGGAAAAAAATTTTAGCTAGCTTTTACAGTTTTCGAGATATGCGCCTTTGAAGTTGGTGCGCTCACTATTTGAGTGCACGCAATCTTTAAATCTCAGTTTCTATTAAAGGTATTCAAAATTTGTCAAATATACAAATGTAGGTCATAAAATTGTAAGTATTTTGTTGGTTTTCAAATTTTGGCTAGTTTCCAAAGTTTTTGAGATATGCGCCTTTAAAGTATGCGCGCTTCTAGACAAGACGCTGAAAAAGGACGCACACCGGCTACAGGGCGCGCTAACTTTAAAGACGCATATCTCAAAAACCAAAAGAGCTATTCAAAAATAATCAACTTTAAATTCAGAGATATTAAAATTTTACATGTTTTGTTAATTTTCAATTTTTAGCTAGTTTGTATAGTTTTTGAGATATGCGCCTTTAAAGTTGGCGCATCCCTTCGCTCTTTTGAGAACTATGCTTTTGCACTTTGATCCTAATTATCTCACTTCCTATGCGAGATATCAAAATTTGGCCAACTGATAAAATGTTTAGAATGTCATCAACGTTTTATCAGTTAGAAATTTTAGACATCTTTCATGGGAGCCGAGAAAAATGAGCTTAAAATTCAAGTGTATATATGGCTTGTAACAGAACTCGACACAAAAAAGTTAATTTTTAGACGCCTACAAAATTAGCTCAAATTTTTCACATTTATCTAAAAAGCAAGAATAGAGCTTCATTTTTCTAGTTGACAACTTTTTTCTAGCTACTCTAGTTTTGAGATAAGCGTCTTTAAAAACAACGCGCTCTCAAAGCTCAAAAGAGGTGGGTACGGTATTCCATTTTTAAAGGCGCATATCTCAAAAAATACGGTAGCTCGAAAAAAGTAGTTAACTGCAAAAATAAAGCTAATAAAATTTCCTACATGAAAATGGTTTTGAATTTTTGATAGCTTTCTTGAATTCTGAGATATGTGTCTTTCAAGTTAAGGCGCGCCACTTCCTCTAGTTTTAGAACCCCTCGGTTTTAAAGCGCTATATCTCAAAAACCAAGCTAGCTATCAAAAAGTAATGAACTACAAAAATGTAGCTTATAAAATTTCTAACATGTAAAAAATTTCAAAACTTACCCTAAAGCACTCCATATGACATCCACTCTCGCAACCATCACACACCAACATCTCATCACCATCCATACTTTTACAAATCTGACAAAGTGCTTCTCTCGACGACCGCTCCCACATAATCATTCCTTCGAGCGCCTGCAGTGCCACCATCAGCTGACTAGTCGTCGTCGCCTCCTCTCTGACGTACTCCTTCCAATCCTCAAACAACTGACAGGTCTCCGCTCCTTCCGGAATACGGAACCGAGGACGCCAATACTTCGCGTCCACCATTTCAGCAGTCTCCAGAATTTTCTGGCGAATCATGAACTCGTCAAGGCTCTCGTCGCCACCATCTTGAGGGTCCAGAACTTTCCAAGCAACACCATCCTTGACAATCTGCGCCAGTGCCATTGTAGTTGGGACCACCACCGGTTTAGCTACATCCGAATTTGATACCGAGATATCTGTCATCTTCATATGCGCTCTCAACTTGTCGATAGCTTGATTCAACCTATTCCATCCCTGGATTCCAATTAGCTCCAAATCCACGGGCTCCAATACTTTTTCCAAGGTGATGGTTCCGAATTTCAGATCGTTTAGGAACCAAGGTTTGGAGAGGAGTCGATGAAGAGCTCTTTCTCGGATTCCTCGACTCAGCATGCACGATCGAAGTGATTCTAGAGAATCTTTACTAGGTACTGTCCACCAACCCCGCTTTGTTGGATTCTCAATCCTCCTGTATCTCTTTCTGATCTTCTTATCCGCCTTGGCCCTTTGGAATATAACCTCGTCGACCAGATCCTCGACAAAAGCGATTACATCGATGTCGATTCCTGCGCAAGCGCCCTCTGTCAATCTATCTTCCAGGTATGGGGGATCCCTAGATGCATACTCTGAAGCCGTGCATGCTGGATTGTTGACTCCAGAAGATTCCAGCGATTCGACGAGCACCGCGTCGGTGTGAGCTAGCATCCAGTAGTTTCTATGGAATCTGTCGGCTCCGAATGGGAAGGATCGGATCTTCTGATTGGTATCGTGGATCTTCCTATTGATGTTTAGGGACTCCTGATGAAGATCTTCGATCAGACCATCCATCTGATCAAGCGACATGGATTCTTCTTGCTCGGTGAGCACCTCGCATTGGCCGAGTCCTGGCGTGAATTTTCGGACTTGAGATTGAGCTTGAGCTCCTGGAACGGGGGCTAGAGCTTGGGATCCTGGAGCTCCCGGAGCTCCATTAGCCTGAGGAGAAGTAGCGGCGACTCCATTGCCATTCTTCTTGGGTGTCACTGGCCTGGTCGGTGGCTCAGAATCTGTCTCCATATTGCTGACGACCTCCTCCTTAACCACTTTTTCATCCATTTTCTTCTTATTGCTCCTCGCTTGTCTCAATGCTCTTGCCTTTCCTTCTCTCATCCATTTCTCTCCTTTTAGTCTAGAAACCTCTTCCAAATTCCTGTCAATCTCGGTGACCACATTCCGGGAGCACACCAATTCATCACATAGGAATGCGAGGATCGCAGCTTTTTGTTCGCCGGTGAGGGAGAGGAAGTTGGAGGAGAGCAGAGGTTGTGAGAGTTCTGCGCCACGTTTTCCCTTGTCGAGAAGAAAGATACGAAGAACTTCGGAGAAGTTCTCACGGTCCAGGCCCATCTCGCCGCCGCCTTGACCGAATCTGAAATATTTTATTCATTGGGATCTTTAGATTTTAAGATAGTCCATAAAATTTGAGTCATTTAACAAGAAAAACCAGCTCTCTAGCTCTATTTTGAAGGGAGATTTTTTGGGGGCGCGGCTGCACAGAGGTGAAATGTGGCGCGCGCGACAGCCGCGGCTCCTTCTGTCGCGCGCGCCGCTCACAACCTCCATCCCATCGCGACCTCTCGCTCCAAATAACTCGCTCCAAAATTGAGCTAGAGACTTAATTTTTTTTTTGGGAAATGTTTGAAATTTTTTGAACTTTCTGATCATATTAATTTTCAGTTGCCAATTCCAAACGAAAACAGTCAATTCGGGATTCCTTACCTTTTCTCGTTTCCCATTCCGGGAAACTCCAGCGCCAACCGTAATAGTTGCCTAGTCAACTGCAAAAACGAGTCCGAATGAGCCGCGTCGCCAGCCAGTCCAGCACACAGTGCCTCCAATTTTGGTGTCGTTTCAAGATCTGGAAAAAATTTAATGATGTTTTTTAAACCAGAAAGCTTTTTTAATTTCCATTTAGATGATTTTTATTGGGAAATTTAGAAAAACTCACCAATTCCTAGAACATGCCCAAAGTTTTGAATAAATTCATGAATCATTAGGGCGTCAGCGAATCCTTGAGCATCCAAACATTGATTTTCGATTCTGGCAAATTCTGGCAAATGCCCAATATCATGAAAATTGACCAGCAAGTCGTCAGATTCCCGATCCCGAACCTCCATTTGCATTCCATTCGACATCATTTGGCTATGCATCTGCTCCTCGGCGAATTCATCGTTGAGATCCGCTGGATCCAGTGGTTCCTCAGGTGGCTCATATCTCGGAATAACCTTCACATCTTCTTCAGGGACTCCAGATGACGTTGACGGCATCAGATGTATTTTTGGCGCGTATTTCAATAGGTTCAGCCTTGCCAATTCCTTATTGATATCCTCCTCTTTAAAACTGACATACTCTTTTTCTTGACGCGCGGGGTCTGCACCTTCCGTTTGGTTTTGAACTATGAATTCGCCAATGTTGAAGCGAGTGTTGAAGAGGAAATTTTCGCGGGACAAGAAGTCCAGTCCGTTTTTGGCGAGGTACTGCAAAAAGTTACTGTAAAAATAGAATTTGAGAAGGAGGCACGTTTTCAAGGAAGAAGTGGCGCACTAACTTTAAAAACGCATATCTCAAAAACTAGAAAAGCTATCAAAAAGTTGTCAACAAAGAAAATGTTTAAAACTTTATGCTCTACAAGTTTTTTTGTTCACAATTTCTGATATCTAATTTGGTTTATGAGATATGCGCCTTTAAAAATAGATAGCACTTAAAGGAAGAACGAAGCGCCGCACTAACTTTAAAGGCGCATATCTCAAAAACTGAACTAGCTATCAAAAAGCTGTAAACTACAAAGTTGTAGAAAATGTTATGAGCTATTTAAATGCAATTGAAAAAGTTAACTACCACTCTTGGTTTTTGAGATATCGCGCTTTGAAATTACTAGAGGCGCCCACTCCCTTGGTTTGGGCGCGTGTTAACTTTAAAGGCGCATATCTCAAAAGTTAGCAAAGTTATTGAAAAGAAGGTAATTGTAAGATGTAGAAAATTTTATAAGCTATATTTTTTTAGTTTGCTTATTTTTAATAGCAGTTTCGGTTTTTAAGATACATCCCTTTAAAGTTATGAGCGCTAAAAAGGGGGAGAGGCGCCACACTTTAGGCGCGCACTAACTTCAAAGCGTTATATCTCAAAAACTAAATTAACTATCAAAAAGATGTAAACTACAAAATTCTAGTAAATTTTATAAGCTACATTTTTGTTTCTGATAATTTTTTGATAAATGTTTTAGTTTTTGAGATGTAGCGCTAAAGAGCCGTTGGCTCGCGAACATGAAGCGCGCCAACTTCAAAGTGTTATATCTCAAAAACTTACAAAGCTATCAAAAAGCTGTAAATTACAAAAATGTAGAAAACTTTATAACAAGCATTCGTACAGTTAACAAAATTTTGATAGATGTTTTCGTTTTTGAGATACGGCGCTAAAAAGAAGTGAGGACGTCTACTTCCGGAACGCGTCAGCTTCAAAGCGTTGTATTTCAAAAACTAAAATAGCTGTCAAGAGTATTGAATTTTACACATTTTAATAGTCAACAAAAAATATAGCTCTTTTAGTTTTTGAGGTATGACATTTTAAAATTTGAGAACAGAAAAACTCACCCTAACAGCCTCCGAATAGGTGCTCATCTTCTTTCCATCCGGTGCAAAATACGCGACGTCTCCTTTGACACCCGACGCAGCGATGCTCTTCACAACTGTCTGTCGTCTCCAACCCAACTGAATCGGCAGTCGAAGCATCGCTTCCAACGTCTTCTTCTGCTCTTCTGGATCGTCTCCTTCCATCGCGTCTTTGTGTGCCTGACTAATCTTCGCCGACAGCTCGGTGTGCTCTTCGTGTTGCTTCTTCTTGAGCTTCTGCATCTGAAGCTGATGGTTCGCCATGATCATTTTCATCACATGCTCTGCTTTCTTGGCTTTCTCTTCTTTTAGCTTAGTTTCTTGTTTCGCGGCTTCTTTAGCAGCTACAGCTTCTTTCGCCTTTTTTGCTTGTTCCTGAAAATTTGAAGTTAAAGTACAGTATCCCCTTTTTCTCTTACCGCTTTCTTGGCATTCTCCTTGACTTGCTGCTGCTTCTGTTGCTGTTGCATTTGTTGCATCAACGCTTGGAACATCATGCTCTGCATCAGATTGTTCGTTGGGGCTGGTCCCGAAGACGTGGATGGTCCAGAAGATGTAGAAGGCGTCGTTGCCACCTTTGTAGCTCCAGAAGCCGCTGCTTTCTTCACCGCACTTTCCACCATCTTCTTCACCAAATCATCTTCGACTTTTTTGGAGCTCGCAGATTGTGGAGTCGAGCTAGCGGGCTGATTCTTCGGCTGGTTTTTGTTGGCATTCATTAGAGCTTGAAACTGAAGCGCCTGCCATGCCATGGCAAGTTCTGGAGTCATAGCTGGCGATGAAGAAGCTCCAGAAGATGTTGAAGGAGCCTTCGACGTCGTCGGAGTAGTCGTGGCAACTGCTTTTCTCGGTGTCCCATTTGCCGCTGATTTTGGCTTCTGCTGCATCTGCTGTTGATGTTGGAACGCATTCAGAACCATTCCCATCTGAGCCATTTGAAGCATCTGGGACATTTGTTGTTGCGCGGCGTTCATTGCTGGGGAAGGTTTGGAGGCTCCAGAAGACGTCGATGGCTTAGAAGGTGTGGCTCCAGAAGACGTGGAGGCTACAGAAGATGTTGAAGGCTTAACGGCGGCTGCTGCCGCCTTCTTGGCCATTTCTGCCATTTGTTGCTGGAGCAGCTTTTGCTGTTGGTTCTGTTGGGACTGTTGCTGAGCAGCTTGTTGCTGCTGAGCTTGTAAGGCCATGAGAAGAAGTAGCTGGTTTGGATTTGCATTGTCCATGGTTTACTTTTTCACATGGGAAACAGTTGAGGGTTCTGAAAAAATTTAACTATTAGCTGGTGGAGAGAAAGAGAAAGAGAGAGAGAGAGAGAGAGAGAGAGAGAGAGAGAGAGAGAGAGAGAGAGAGAGAGAGAGAGAAAGAGAGAGAGAGAGAGAGAGAGAGAGAGAGAGAGAGAGAGAGAAGGAGAGAGAGGTGGCATAAAAGGGGGTATATCTCAATATTCAGCAGAGATATCCAAAAACAGTTAACTAAAAAAATGAAGAGCATAAAATTTTACACATTTTGATTAAAAAAATTTTTTGGTAACTGTTATGCTTTTAAAAATACATCGCTTTAAAGTAAGAGCACGCTAAAAAAAGGAGGTGTTAACTTCATGTGCTATATCTCAAAAACTACAAAAGCTATCAAAAAGCTGTGAACTACAAAAATATAGAATATAGAATTTTAAACATTTTTATGATTAACAAAATTTTAGTAGCTTTATTAGTTTTTGAGATATAACGCTTTGAAGTTGGAGCATACAAAAACGGAAAAAAGAATTAACTTTAAAGACGACTCAAAGACTAGAGTAGCTATTAAAGAATTAAAAATTGTAAAACAGAGCGCATAAAATTTTACACGTTTTGATAATTGACAAAAGTTAGGTAGCGTTTTTAGGTTTTGAGATATGAGGCTTTGAAGTTACGCTAGCTGCAATCGCGACTAGGAGGAAGTGGCGCCAACTTCAAAGCGCCATATCTCAAAAACCAAGTTAGCTTGCAAAAAGCTGTAAACTACAAAACTGTAGAGTATTAAATTTTAAACATTTTGGCAGTTAGCAAAGTTATGATAGCTCTACTAGTTTTTGAGATACAACGCTTTGAAACAAATCTCAGAACTCATAGAACTGGCGGGCGAAAAAAAGGCCCCCATTAACCTAGCAAAGCGGAGAAGGAACGAAGAATCAATGACGTTTCAAGAGTAGATTTGTTTGGAAACGTACAAAAAACAAGAATATTGATTGGTGAGAACACTTTTTGAAGACAAGATAGGTATAGATCAAAACCCCAAAACATTAGAAAATTGGCGGGAAAAAAATTATGAAATGATTTATGAAACCTAGAAACCTAGATTTCCTAACCCAGAAATAATTGAAATCAACGAAAACAAAAAGCAAAAGAGTAAAACGCAAGGCGGGGGTCGAACCTCCGACCTTTTGGATGAAGAGCAAAATGACAACCCACTAGGCCATGGCGCCCATTGAGTTTAATCAACCGTTTTTGGTAGCCAATCGCGCGGTTTTCGCCGATTTCATTTTCAAAAGTATGAGCCGACCGTTGCCATGGTAGACCAGTTTGACCAAAATCAATAGACCCAAATCGTACAAGAAAAATGAGGAAATCGGTGAATGAGTGAGGGACGGGACAGTGTGAGTGGAGGGGGAAAACGAAACGAACGAAAAAAGGACAGATGCTGTCAATCAATCCCTCCTTTTTCTCCGTGTCGTCTCCCAGGGCATTCAGTACAATATATAAGAAGACCAACCCCCTGTTTCTCTCGGGTCACCCACCAACACTGTGTTGTCGTATGTATATTGCTGCTGCTGGGTAACAAAACAGCCAAAAAGTGATTTGGTGGGGTGGCCGGAGGACAAAGAAAGAGGTGGTGATGATGATGAAAATGCGTATATGTACATATTGGTGGTCGGTTGTACGGAAAAGGTTATGGAAATGGTGCGGTCGTACTATTCAGAATAGTTCAAATAGCGCTGGTGCTTGCTCCAAAGTGGCGCCCACTTTGAGACGCTGTATCTCAAAAACGAAGCTAGCTATCTAAAAATAGTCAATTACAAAAATGTAGAGCAAAAAATTTTAAATATTTTAATAGTTGACAGCTTTTTGATAGCTTTTACGGTTTTTGAGATATAACACCTTGAAGTTAGCGCGCGCTCAAAATAGAGGATCAGTGGCGCAAACTTCAAGACGCTGTATCTCAAAAAGTAACAAAGCTATCAAAAATTAACTACCAGCAAACATGTTTAAAATTTTATAAGCTATATTTTTACAATTAACAAAATTTTGATAACTGTATTGGTTCTTGAGATATAGCACTTCAAAGATGGCGCGCGCTATGGCACAGGAGAGAATGGCGGTGTCCACCAGTATGTGCGCGCGTATCTTTAAAACGTCATATCTCGAATCGAGCTAGCTATCAAAAAGTGGTATATTAGAAAAATAAAGACCATAAAATTTTACATAATTTACAATTTACTGCTTTTCAATAGTTAATTCAGTTTTTGAGATATACTGTTTCAAAGTTGGCGCGTCTTCTGAAAGTCATTTTGGTGGCGCTTACTTCAAGACGCTATATCTCCAAAACCAAGCTAGTTATCAAAAAGTGGTAAACTACAGAAATATAGAAAAAGAGATTTTACATAAATTCCTTTTAATTAATCGTCTTCAGCTCCTTTGGCTTTTGAGCTGGCTCTAACAATAAGGGAATTCCTAAAATCAAGAATTTTGAACTTTTAAAGTTTAAAACTAATAGTAAAATATTTGAATTCCTCCAACCAAAGTCCTCCGTTCAATTTCTCTTTCTTTCTTATCCGGACACAGCTAGATAGGCAGCTGTTTCGTTTCTTTCTGGTGTCTTTTCATTCTCTCTTTTACAAACAAAGCAATTACTTTCTCATGTCACCCCTCTTCGTCTTCTTTATCCCCTAGCCTGAACGAGTCCTCTTGTAATCCGCTGCAGATGTCTTACCGCAAAGGTCTTTTCTAGAATCTAGACTAAAAATTGAAACTTGAGAATGTGTGGAATTCTAGCTATCCTCCCCGGCGCTGCGCGCCACCGAAAACCGCCCGATAGAGTACCACCCACCTTACCTTCTCAGTGGGGTGTGAAGCGCAGCTTGTTACAGTTTTGCCAACCAATCTGAAGGTTAGGGGTTCGATTTCACCTGGGGTAATCTCCTTTTTTAAGATTTTGCAAGTCCCTTTTAGACGATTTAAAGGCGTTTTAGGGGTAAATAAGGTAGTTTAGAGCATCTGGAACCATCTAGAATCTTGAAAACCCAAGGAAAAACGTAGAAAACTGCCAAAATTTCGTCAAAGATCCTACAAACTAAAAGAAGCGAATTTCGGGGGTTCTCTATCAATCTTGGGAGCCAAGGGGACCCGCCGATGACACAAAATGAGAAACGTACACGATGAAGGGTAGGCAAAAATGTGTGTTTTCGTGAGAGTGAAGTGAAAAAAAAGTGTCTCTTTGTGTTGTTGCTCCGAGAGCAAAGCAAGAGAGAGCTTGAATGGAGATGGAAGAAGCTAAAGTATTCGTTTTTTTTTTCGCTGTGCTTTCCGTGGAATTGAGAAGAAGTGGTAGAAGAAAAAAAAAGAAGACGACGTGAAAGCTCATGTATGTGGCTAAAAAAGCATGGAGCCGGGTGTGGCGGGAGAAAAAAGGCGGAAAAAACTTTCAGAGAGATTAGCAGATTAACGAATTCGGTTTTCCTTTTTCTTTGGATAAGTTGCTGCTGGCGCGGAAATTTGGAAGTCTCGGCATCAGAAAATTTTCAAGCAGGCCTGGCGGCATTACCGACAACCGCGCGAATGGCTACCAGAAACGGTGGTGTACTATTGCCGCCATGGCCTACTGGTTTGCAGTTTTGCCTATCATCCAAGAGGTCCGAGGTTCGATCCCATCTTGGGTTTTTTATTTTTCTTTTTTATTTGTCGGTTTGAAGAAGGTATTTCTAGTTTATTGGGTTTATAACCAATTCTTATGATTTTTTTCAGATTTTTCCACCGAAAAAATGTTAAAAATGGAAGAAAAAGGGTAAAGTAAGAAAGAAAACCAACTGGAAAGGACAGTATTATGATAAGAGTCATTTGACAGAAAGAATAAACATTGAAAAAAAAATTTTGTTTGAAAATTTTCCCAAAAAACTCGATTTCTGAGTCTCGCTACTTGCCCATCTTCCAGCCTAAAACTACCGAACAGCGCGCGATTGGCTACCAGAAGTCGCCTCTTACTCCTAGTAGCTTGCGTAGTCTAGTGGTTTACACTTTTGTCCATCATTCTCAAGGTCCGAGGTTCGATTCTACCCGGTGTCATTTTCTTTTTTCTTGATTTTCAGAGCTAATTAACACAATTTTAGTAGTTTCTAGGGCAAAATAAGGTAGTTGATGACATTTAGAGCCTCGAAACCCCACTAAAAAGTCTTTAAAACTTCAAAAATAAGGGCTAGGGACCAAAACCCGGAAAAATCGAACATTTCGAAATGTTTTTCGAGAGAAGAAGAGGCGAAAAGGTGTTTTTATGATGAGCGGACGAGGAGTAGTGTCAATAAACCCCACGACAATATTGATTCGTATTATAGAAGTCAGGATTTACAGTAACCCAGCTAAAACCAAAGAGAAAACAGGAAAAACATATTCGAGTCATAGAACACGTCTGGGGTCCGCTCTCCTGAATGACACACCACAGCTAAATAGTGCTCTTCTTCTGCGTCTCTCAATCTCCCACACTATTTCCTCCTGTTCGCTTTTTGATGCAGTATAACCGCTCACACAGCCCCACCACCGGGTGGGGTCATTTGTGAATTGTCTAGCCTGCTCTCCTCATTTTACACACTATTTCTATAGGACAGACATAGAGAGTGTGGGCATTAGGCGGCAGCACAAGGCGTTTTGAGTGTATGTGAGAGCGTTTTTGGTGGTCGCAGGCGACTCAGCCCAGCAGCAGCCATCTCTCACTCTTTTCTCCTATCGGTTGGTTAGTTGTTGTGTCCTTCGCTTCCCTTCCATTTCTCTTTCCCGTTTCTTCGCGCCGCGTCCTCGTCGTCGGTTGTCATCGTTGCCGTTTGGGCTCGTTTGGCACTCGTTCGACGCGTCTCGATGAGCTGTACACGGTGGTGCGTGTTGGGAAACAGTGCGATTTGAATAGGAAAAGTTAGAGGGGTTGGAAGGTTTGGGGAAGTGTGATTCACTGGTGTCATGGGTGACTAGAGTCCTGGAATGGG